ATCAATTAAAATAAAGTGATGATGCAAATATTTGCGTACATTTGTGTGAGGCATTAGTCCCTTTGATAAATTTCGATAGTGTAGTAAAAAGACGAAAATTATCAGAAATGAAAATAATGTGAATACAATTTGAAACCTCATTATTTTGCATAATAAGTTAATATTACCAGGGTAGGTTCATGGTGAGAACAAACTGTTTTTGAATACACAAAGCGGGTTTGAACTTTCTTATGGCTAAGGCTTCAGCAAATCCTAGTATACTGAGTTTAAGTCCCAGAGCGAACATTAACTTTGAGATGCAGGTACATCCAGCTGAAAAGTCCTAAATAGGACGAAACACGCGTCCTGGGTTTCACTGCTAGCCACTATCCTTCTTTGCTTATAATGCTTAGTATACGCACTTTCTCACTTTTCTACAACACCACAAAAGTGGAGTTAAGATCAGTCTTATGACCTGCTTCAATTATGTGTTTGGCAATAGAGGATGATGGATGTTTAGCCTCTACTCTTATTGAATCATTTGATTTTATTTGTTTCTTAAGTCATTAAAGTACATGTTCACACACCCTAATTTTAGATCACGATTATTCCTCCCCATATATGTGTAGCTATACACACATTTCAATTGGTAAGCACAGTGGGATGTGATGCAATTGTTCTCATATCTTTTAGGTTTTCGATGAAGCATCGACCTTGTTCATTCCTTTGCTACCTAATACGTATTGTTAATAACTGATTTAAGCCTTTGATTCAATAATAGGCTATTTGAATAACTTCTAGATGGTAAGGTGATGTAGACAGGCCTTTTTTCTGCCAAGGCTATTGTAGTTCTCACTATAACATGAACTTTCCAGCCATTTCTAGTCTAGTTGACTTTTTATTTTTATAAATAAATGTTCTTAACAAATATATGTGTGATCAGATTGTTTAAAATATATTGCACTAATATATCTTATAGTTCTGATAATCTTTGTCTTCTTATTACACTATCGAAAGTAGATTTATGTATCGTAATTCCGATGGTGGTAAGTGTTCATTAAATTCACTTCAGTGAATTTTCTCCCAGCTGGATGTTTTTTCTAATTCCAGTTATCATGAGTAAATATTGTACAGTCTGATGCAGTTTCACTTTAGGGTTACCTAAGGCGTAGCGAAGGTTTCTCTTGAGAAGTCTACTAAAAGTATCGTTTTGTAGCAACTTATGGTGTTTGGAAAATAAATATTTAATTGGTATATCGTCATTTTGCCAAAGGACTATTCAACAAAATAAGGTTTTATTTCTAATGTTAGTTGAGAATACCAATTACATTGTTCACTCAATAGTGTGATCAATTCAATAATCAAACACTTTTCACAATACAGTTACCAAAGCAATCTATTGTATAAAATAAATGTATGCTCATCTATTATATTACTTATTGTATTTTACAGTAAATATTACGTTTATAATAGAATGTAAATGTTAGCAGTGACCACTGTACAAATTGAATCTATTTTTGGTAGGCATAGTGACTATTCAATAAGAGATTGTATATCTTTAAAAATAAAGTCAAGTTTCATAAGCCTATTCTACTTATTACAAACAATTTAAGACAATTATTTCTACATAATTATCCATAGAAAACAAATTCTATGATCTAAAGAAGTCAAAATCTACCTTAATGATGTTGTTTTTCCGAAAAAAAGAATATTTTTTGGGATGAATGTAAATAGATTCAAATGTTAACACAATATAAAAATAATATTTATTTGAAGGCATGTTGATATCAAGCGGAAAATTACTGAAAATCATGGAACGCTAAACGTTTGGTAAATCGTATTTATGAACTCATCTGTACATGTATAGCCACACCCCATCAAGCCCACTAGTGACGAGTATAATAAGTGTATTATAGGATTCTGATTCGATAGTCTATAGATTTACCCTATTCGAGGCCTAAGGATTATCGGTTTTACGCCGCGTGACACTATTTTTATGTTTAGCTGAAAAGTTTTTTCAACGACAAAAGAACATGTGTCCTGTGCTTTCTGATTTCCAATAGTTTCCAGGCTGATGTCAGCCCGTGACGCAATTCATCCTGAAATAACTATTAATTTATCTACTATGTTTACTTATCAATCTATCTCTCAACAAAAGTAACCTGTCGTATTATTATGTATTGTTTTGTATGACATTTACTACCCATCTGTAACTAAACAACACGTTGAATTGATTTCCAAAAGATCTTTTATCATTAAATGAGATCAGTTACAGGATTCTTAAAAAGTTAAAAACCCTAGAAAATTACCAAACAAAAGGTGCTTATATCCTGCTGCTGTAACCATAGAATCCAGTGATTCGATGAAAATCTACATTCTACATCATTCACTTTAATAAACTGATCGTGATTTTCTAATAATGAAGTTACTAAAGATTTTCCAACTTAAGCCAAACTGTTATGAAAACTATATTCATACTGAATAACATACTTGGATCTTCTATCACACCACTAATGAGTTTTGACATTTTAACATATGAATACTTAGATTACTTGTGTAGTGAACAGAACACGAGAGGGGATAATCGAATGTATTTAACGCAAAATTATAGGACTTGTTAATAAAACCTAACAATCATAAAGTAAATTTCTAATATCATTGTCGAAATTTATCAAAGGGACTAATTGTTTTAAATTCCATAAAGTAAATGCCTAATTTGCAAAATGTCCACCAATTGTCTCAAAATGACTCAGACTTCATTGCTCTTGTATTTCCATACAAATTGCATCCTGTTTCTATTCTTTACTGTTCTATCTTCTTGTCTCTCTGCTGCCAGACCTTCTGTTCACGACTGACATCATACACTACTTATGTCAATATAAGTAGCACACACTACAGAACTATCTTGACGTTCGTATTAAAGATTCTGACTTTGATATCGGTTGACAGTTGTTTTGAGTTCCACATGTTCTTCAAATGTAGGAATGCTGTTCTTACTTTGCCAATCCTTGCCTTCACTTCTGCATCAGACCCTCCTTGTTCATCGATGATGCTAACCAGATACGTGAAAGATTCCACCTTCACATTTTATTCAGGAAGATTTGTGAGGAAGAACAAGTGCCGACAGACTAGAGAGATAGATACCTCATCAGGATGCCAAAGTAACAAGATTCGAACAAGTGTGAGAACTACAAATGCACCAAACTTCCATCAGTAGCGTTGAAATTTTTCAACAGGGTGAAAGATTCAGTAGACGTTCAACTTCGGGATCAACAAGCTGGATTCCGTAAAGAAAGGCTGTGCACAGACCAAAACGTGACACTACAGATCACCATTGAACAATCACTTGAATGGAACTTGTCACCATACATCAACTTCATTGATTATCAGAAGGCGTTTGAAAACGTGGATAGGAGAACATTATAGAAACTTCCTCGACACTATGAATTGGGTAGCTGAGAAAATCCTCAACATCACGCGGAATTCATATGACCGACTACAGTATAAAGTGGTGCATGGAGAACAGCTGACAGACCGACTTCAAGAAAGGACCGGAGTCAGACAAGGCTGTCTACTTTCTCCTTTCTCTTTTTTCTGGTAGTTGAGTGGATTATGAAGACCTGAACATCTAAGGGGAAGCACAGAATAAAATGGACAGGTTGGAGGAAACTAGATGAGTTGGACTTCGCAGACGACCTAACTCTTCACTCTCGTACACACCAACGAATGCAGGTCAAGACAAACAATGTAGCAGCAGCATCAGTAGGCCTCAACATACAAAAGGGAAAAAGCGAGATCCTCAAATGTAACACGGAGAACACCAGCTCAATCACACTTGATCGAGAAGCTCTAGAAGAGGTGGAATCTTTCACGCGTCTGGGTAGCATCATCGATGAACAAGGAGGGTCTGATGCAGAAGTGAAGGCAAGGATTGGCAAAGTAAGAACAGCATTCCTACATTTGAAGAACATGTGGAACTCAAAACAACTGTCAACCGATATCAAAGTCAGAATCTTTAATACGAACGTCAAGATAGTCCTACTGTACGAAACTGAAACTTTGAGAACTACCACAACTATCATAAAAATGTACAGGTATTTATAAACAGTTGTCTACGTAAAGCACTGAATGTCCATTGGCCGGATACCGTCAGAAGCAGCCTGATATAGGAGGGAACAAGCCAACTTCTAGCTGAAGAGGAAATTAGAAAAAGACGTTGGAAGTGGATAGGACACACATTGAGGAAATCATTAAACTGCATCACGAGGCAAGCGCTATCTTGGAATTCTGAAGGGAAACGAAAAATAGGAAGGCCGATGAAGACACTGCGTCGGGAATTGGAAGCAAACATGGAAAGGGTGAATAGCAACCGGAAAGAACTGGAAAGGATTGCCTAGGATAGAGTTGAATGGAGAACGTTGGTGAGCGGCTTGCGCTCCCCCATGAGGGTAACAGGCGTAAGTAATGAAGTAATTAGGAAACGATAAATCTGACCAATATGAAAAGAAACCCAAACTTTTAACACAGTGTTTGCGAACATTATGTGTACAAATATTCGAATATGGACAAAAGCATTGCTAGCTATGATATTGAACAGAAAAGTAGGGCTGAATCGAGAATAACGAAATGTATTGTGTCTATTACCATTCCTACTTATTCCACGACTGACACCTTCATCTATGGAAAAAGAGGAATTTCAAATCAATAAATTTTATACAATTTCTACGAATGAGTAAAAATTACATCACAAAAGTGAAAAATGAATTAAAATCCATCAGATAAAAGATCACAAATGTATTTCAAATTTGACCATAATAAAACTAATTAATTAAAATCATAAATTCAATTATACAGTGAAAATGTCATGTAAATTTTGGAGGGTCCTTGGAGGTGCTTGACATAAACGTCTATTCATTCTTAAGCTTTTTTTACAAAAAAGAAACATAATGAAAATATAAAAATATAAATATAAAATCAAATCAACATTTACAAGTGTACTTGTTTTTTTTTCTACTAAGTTATCAAATAATCGGAAATTTACGATTTTCACAACTATTCACTCTCCATTGACTTACATCTTCATACCAATAAGGTCGTTCCAAGTTATCGATTTCATGCGCCAGCATACATAGTCGACAATCAGTGAATGTATTAAAATCAACTGTTCCATGGTTATGCCATTTAAAGTATTCATTATAAGCAGTTTTATTGTTGTCTAGATAGTACAAATAATCCGCTAATTGTTTGACAGAATTAAAATCGTCTACATGAATAAAAGAATTTGATGGAGCTGATCTTACATATTCTGATTTCGATGCACCCATTACGATTGGAACAACAGTATTTCTAAAATACAATATATTATTAGAGCTATTAATTATTCTATCATAAAGTAGCGTAAACTATTAGTGGTTTGAGAAATTTAATTGAAAAATGAGGATTGTTAGACAGGTGCTCTGGTAAAACAATTACATTCCTGATCACTTCAGACTCATAAGCCTATAATAACTATTTATTGGAATATCTGAAATAAAAAGGGTTGCTAGAGTACAAGTTTAGTTACAGGCGATCATCATAATTACTTGTAGTACAACTACTAACGTAAAGAGTTTGGTATAGTTTAATGTAATCTGCATAATTAATTTTCTAATAATTTGAATATAAAACAGTTTGGATGAGAAACGTGTTTATGAAACAACAATCCAATGAAATTTACTTTCAGTATTTACTCAATAGTTGCCTCATCAAGATGGATTCTCCTTAAAATATGTAGTCAATCGACGAGATATGATTTTCCCTACTTTTTGACAAGAAGATTCGTTGAGATTGATAAAAGATATTGTAAATAGTCATCTAAAGATATCAACGCAATTTCTTCAACCTAAACAACAATGTGAATTGATACATCGTTAAAAATGTCAATGATCTTCACAATTAAATTTCAAATGTATTCAATATTCATTTATCACAAGTAAATTAAAGCCATAACTCAGTATGATCTGTTTCATAACTTTATTTCTATTAAATTTAATAGCTTTTATTTCAATAACACGTTTTCTATAACATGGGAGTTCTAGATATATGAAGAAAGGAAAAACGATATTTTTCCCTATCAAAGAAACTATACTGAATGTAAGCTAAACTAATGATACTTGTGCAACGACATAAATCATGTTAATAAGATACTTGAAACTTTCAACTTAGTCTATTTCAACATGAAATTCACAATCGAACATAAAGGAAAGGATAACATCTGTTCCCTAGGTCTAGATGTCATGGAAGAAGTGACGAAACCTATTAAACATTCATGTGTCGGAAAAAAAACATGGAGTGGCCAAAATAATTTTTGCCTAGTCACTTACACTTATCGGTTGGTGAGAACGCTATACCACAAAGCCAGAAAGTTGTGCCAAGTTGCCAAGTAGTCGCTAGTTGAATACCATCCTTTCGGATCAGGCTGTCCTTGCTCACCCATATATACAGCGCTTCTGTTGTCAATCTTTCTTTATGAGTGTTAAAACCTTATCAAGGTATCTCGCAAATATCCGATGAGAATTAATTGGACCCTTTCTTTATTCAACCTGTTTACTTCACATGCATCGTTATTCTGACTGAAATTGATGTGGGTTATTTTAGCAATACAATTATTTATTTGATGATTCGCATTTGACATGCACATCAATGATTTAGAAACAATTTTTTCAACCTTTAACTTGAATTTTTTATTTTTCCTTTATATAAAAACATTAACACCCAATATCAACTATTAATAACTCAACCTTATACATACATAAATACACACAATTCGCCCAGTCATTTATTTTCACATCGTGAACTTTTGACATGATTCGCATTTAACTGACTCATGTTATCCTATTTACTAAAATCAACATCCAAACATGATTGGATTAACACAGTATAGATTTGATTGTTAAAACACTATATATATTTCTTTGATGATTTTGATTATTACCCTGAAGAAGTTCAGACATGTTAGCTGGACGAAACGTTGGAATTATTTATTTAAATTTCAATCACTGAGATTATTCCAAATATAATATTTTACATATGATGACTTCTCTATACTCGGCGCCTAATTTCTGTTAAACGATTCATTCTAATCTTGACGAATATTCGTAGAAATAAATAATACTTATATTTACAATTTCAAAGGAAAAAAATCTTACTTAAGAGCATTTAGAAAGAACTTTTCAGTAATATAATCTTGACAGATACTATTCTCAAAACTGAGATAGAATTTATAATCATTTTTCAATGATTCAAAACACGTGCTACTATATTTATCACAAATTAGATCTCCACATGCACCATAGATATCAACCTATTTGAAATATAACAATAAAGAGTTAATAATATAATGCACAACAATTAATGCTCAATCGTTTATAATGAGTTAATGATTTCTTTTTAAAAAAATACTTGTAATGACTTAGCTTCGTCAATCAATCGCCTTTGTAACCGTTAATATATAAACCCCAATGGTGTTTGAAATCAGAGGACAATAAAAAGCGGCGACTACAGATAACTAAGCTACAATCACATAGAGTGAATTTCATGCAGAGAGGCGAATATGTGTATGTGGGCGAATACAGAGGCAAATTTATAGTCAACTCGAATCAAGACGCAGATAGGAAAGACAACGGCTAATAGTAGGATTCGAGTACATTAATGCACGGAGAAGAGAATGATTCATCGGACGATATTTAGACTGACAACATTTTAGCTAGTGTCTGTTGTGCGATCAAGCGTACACGTTTATACAGATATGATAGTAACCATAATAGTACAAAGAAAAATGCGAATTGTTATTGTTTGAACAACCATAATTGAAACTGATTGTAGGAAAGCCGCTATATACTCGAAATAAATGTTTATCAATCGGATTATCTATTGATGTTTTGTACGAATTAACATACACTGTTAAACAAATGTACAACAAGATAATACAGAATAAAGAAGCATCTATTGGCACTTGACCTATAAAATTAGAAGAGAATACTTCAATTAATGATTCTTAATTAGGCCCATTAAAACACTTTTTATAATAGTCCATATTATACGGAAAAAATTCATTGTAATCTTAGCAACAAAACAGTCACAACGTATATTAAATACATCCAAGACAGTTATAGTTTATACACCTTATCCAAAAGTTATCACCACATTGTTAGCGGGACATAGATTTGATTAAAACATGCTCGATGCACCATTGCATTGGCGCACGCTGATTGGCTAATTATTATCCAATCAGCACTAGCCGATACTTGGAGAATAATCTAGAAATCTTCTAATGTAAAAACTATAAATATACTAACGCTTTTCCTATTGTGCTTCTTACTTCCATCTAACCTTGTTATTTGGAATATAATCTCTTTCCTGTTCAACCGTGTCCTGACTTGGGGACTTGTCGAGTGAATTGGTGTCCGAGAATACTAAGCAATAGGAATAGCTGAGTTATAACTGTGAGACAGAATTATAACACCACCACCTCAAGGTGATAGTTACATTTCTACATTAAGACATGATTATATGCTGAACAAGTAGCTTGCTAAATTGTTTAATCCTAATTCAAACCCATGAACAAGTAATGATTAACTGTTGTGTCCTTCTTATGAATTTGAAGAACTGCTAAACTATTTCTCAAAGTCGCTTGTTTTAGTATCATCATTCAAATACGTTATCTAAAGATCATCATTTTCTATATAAATGACAATATGTGCATGATGGAATGCAAAAGAACGTTTACAACTTCAAATGTGACTATAGGCACAATGCTGTTGTTTATTTTTAAAGAAATACTACAAGCTAATACAAAAATTATTCTTATTAGAAAACGTGTTAATCATTATACATGAACTGTTTACGCTATTAACTAGACCAATATGATCAATAATTAGATTGTCCACACTTGCTGATTATTTTTTCAGTGGCTAATTTGCCAAACATAAGACTTTTCGGACAATAAGGATAATAGCTTAACTTCTTGAGGTAGAAGTTGATGATGTTGTCTACAATGACAACGAAAACTTTGTTATTAATGTATCGACTTCACAACATCAACAAACATATAAGCTTAGTTTTCATATCTAATCTATCATGTTTTACTATTGACTTAATGTTCTAATTTACTTTCAGTTTATTTTCTGCAATACGTATTTATCAATTATTCTTTTTGCACGCTTAAATCCAGAACAAATACAATGATCTTACTCAAATATTTACAAGTTAATTATTTTCAGCTAAAGTACTAAGATCAAATCAAGTTAAACTGGCTTCTTCTTACAGAAAAGTTTATTTCATATTATCAGTTTATGGGATTCCAAATGCTTCCTTTTAATACATGACAGCATTGAACATGAAATGAAAGTTTTTATTTAGTCAAATAAATGTGCTAAGACAATTAACTATCAGATTAAGAAGTAATTGTTGATAGTTAACTTGTAAAATTATAACAGAATTTTAAAACAATCAAACAACCTTCTTATTCTATATATGTTTTTGAGTATCGTTGATATGTGGTTGTATTGTTGTTTACCGAGTAGTAAATAACTGTGTTGGATCTATATCCTTATCTTTGTTAGTATTCGATCTAAATTAGCTCTATAACAAAACAAAACTAAACCATTGATCTTGTCTTGAGCATACTCTATTTAGGACAAATGTGTAGTAGACATGATTGAATCAACGTTTCGTGATGTTTCAGGTAGCACAAAACAAAACCATTAGAATAGAAACAAGAAGGAGCTTGACAATTGTTTAATGTTGCAGTAAATTCTTCAGAAATAAATTTATCTCATAATACAATTATCCTCATCGTCATTATAAGTGATGAGATACACTTCAACTATCAATAATTTTATTTAAACAATACCCAGTGTTCAAATAACTACTTAACTTAAAGATTATTTAGCTTAATTTTGTCAAGATTTTTGAGGATATTTTAAGAATATTTTGTAATGAATAATTAGAAGACAGGGACCTTTAACGAATAATTGTTAGTTGTAGGCATCTTGGAATATCTAATATGAAACACTAACTAATTTTCATCGCTTCTTCAACTAACATCAATTTATGGTGAAAGTTACCTTTCACAACAGAATTCACTTCAAAACTTTTAATTTCAAAATTGTCATGATCTCTTCAATAAAAGTTGTCTAATTATTAATTTTTAAAAAGATGAACAAATCACTTTCTTCATTCACACAATCTAATCAACTTGAACTTTGTCAATCACAAAATTAATAAGTAACTTTTACTTATTAATTACATGAGTTTATTTTTTCACTTATATTTTTATTTGACTCAATAATAATCTCAAATATTGATTAACCTGTAACTTAATCTATTTTAACCGTTGATATGGCCTAGTTTTTTTTTTTAAAAAAAGTAAATGAAAATACAAAGTTAAATCAATATTCATTTTAATATTGTTTATCACTAAGTGAATTATTTTTCTTTTTTTTTACAAATTTTAAAAGAAAAACAAATCAATAATTATCAGAAGGGGTTTGTGGAGATTTTTAGAAATTTTCACAGATTGAAATCATGAGTCAGTTGAAGCTAGACCACCAATGAAAACCGTCCAGTGCATCCAGGTTTTCAATGGTAGTCTAGCTTCAACTGACTCATGATTTCAATCTGTGAAAATCAACAATTACCAATATGATTACATATAAGTTTACCGTTATGTAATAAATCTATATTGTAATGATGATTATTAATAAATTAATTGAATAAATAAACAACAAAAAATTGTTTACAGATTAGGTTATTATTGATATTTTTCTTACCTTGATATATTTCATTAATTCCTTAGCATAATTCATTCGTGGACCACCACCATTACAATTACTAACAAACCATGCAATCATTTTAGTTTTACCATTAGAAAAATCTTTATCAAATTCAATTGAATGATTTAAATCTTTTGGTACCATATCTGAAAATGGTACATATTTATAATATGGTGTAACTATAGTTGAATCCACTGTATATGTAGCGGTGAAATTAATCTATAAGTAAAATTGAAATTTTATTTTATTTTGTTGAAATACCAATAATGATTAGTGTATAAATATAAGAAGAGATAATCTAAAGTACCATTCAATAGGATTGATATCAATAAAACTGTATGATATTAACAAGATTACAACAGGTAATATAAAATGCAATGAATAAAAACCATATACCATACATTTACGTTATGATATCCCATTTTATATATCAGTTAACAACTAATATTCTTTAGCTTATTTTATACACGTAAATGATATTATTTTGGTGGACTTCTGTTCTCTGAGCTGGATAGTTTAGTCGTGGAGCTTTTATCGTTCTTCTGAATGACATCATCAGGTAGAAGTCTGTGCTGATGATGTCATTCAGAAGAACGATGAAAGCTCCATGACCAAACCATCCAGCTTAGAGAACAAAACTCTATCAAAGTCATACACCTGTGCTACAAATCTTCTCCACCAACTCACAACCAAATATGTATTAAAATTTTACATTGAGGTAAGATATAGTGTGAAACAATTGACATAAGTGAATGTAAAGAATTGGAATAAGAAAGGTTATCAATAATAACTGCATACATGTTTTCAAGAAGAGGTCGGAGGTCATTCGGTGTTAGAATCAAAAAAGCACGAGGGCTGGGTGGTGTAATAATCGAATGAAGTACAGAAATAAAATTAAAGACTGAAAATTGAATTACCAGGATAGTAATAAGTTTATTACTGCATCTTTTTGAATACATAGATCAGGTTTTCGGTTGTTAGTTTTATTTTGTTAATGTTTAGTTTGTTATATTTCTGTTTTATTACCGAATTTTTATTTTATGTACATTTAAACCACCCTATTCACCCACACATTTCCACTCACTCAATTCTCTTAAATTATTTGAACTCATCAAATTTTGTTTAATTATTGCTCAACCCATCTTACCAGATTTTTAATTCCAGGAATCTTGTGCAAACCCTTTATTACTTCTAAAATTATTACACAATTTTTATTATCTGTCACTCGGTTATTAAATCATCCACCACTAATGCTTTTTTGATTCTAACACCGAATGACCTCCGACCTCTTCTTGAAAACATGTATGCAGTTATTATTGATAACCTTTCTTATTCCAATTCTTTACATTCACTTATGTCAATTGTTTCACACTATATCTTACCTCAATGTAAAATTTTAATACATATTTGGTTGTAAGCAGCTGATGAGAAACCACGAAATATAAAGGATTTATATTATTCTGCATCCCTGTTCATTCTAGCTCTATTTAATTTCATGTTTAGTCAGAAAAATACAATACGTAATACGGAAATAATATGCAAACGAAAAAGATATCCAAATTCTTTTTTGAAGATTGAAAGAATAAATACGGTAAAACGTGTAAGAAGACTTAACAATGTCTTTATTGACTTCAGTAAAATTAAAATATGACATACAGGTAATGTGATTTGAAGATGTTGCAGAGTTTTGTTAGTTCATTTATTGGAAATGTATTACTAAAGGAGTTAACAAACACCTTATATCATACTTTGTTTATTCAAGTATTTTTATTGACCCGAGATCAGAATCCATTTGGATAGTATGATGATTTGTAGTGTCTGTGCTTTGTTAAACAATCACCCTTGTAACCGTTATCATATAATCCTCAACGGTCTTTGAAATCAGCTAGAACAAGTCATGGGGGCAATAAATAGCACTACATATTTTTACAAGTTTAAAAGTTTAAACATGCTAAAATTATATCGGATTAATATTAACCAAAAAAAGTTACATTAGGAAAATAAATAAATATAGTTATTGATACTCACCAATGAAAAATCTAAATTTTAATTCGACAGTATATTTCAGATTCATCTTTCTAACTCTGATTGTATGCATACATATAGATCTATTCAGATCTATAAATGAATTTCATGATACCAATCAAGCGATGGGACTATAATTTATGAACGACCTTTCAGCGACGCTAAAGTGACCTTGAGAGTGTCCACCTGATAACTGGGACCAAGTGAGGGTTATAAATTAATGTGATGAATCCGAATTTCGATTTACAGTTGATGATTAATGTTAGAAATTAGATTTAGGATTTTCATCACGAACTAACAGTTATAATGCCAAGACTTTATTTAGCCAAATGGTTGAGTGAGTTTCGCGCCAAAATCCGTTACCCGTCATTTTATACTTGATTGATTCGTCCATAAATTTTAGTCTCGTCAAAAACGGTATTATTTTGTCAGTGGAAACACATAGTTAGTATATGAATCTGAAATATTTACTCATGTGTCAATTCATCAGATGATTTTCAGTAAACAAAAAATAATTCTAGGAATAAACACTGATTTATTTTGTCACATGAAGTGAATGTAAATAAATAAAATGATTTTAATTGAATTAGTCTATAGGGAATATAAATGATGAAAATCTATTCAGTCAGTAATGGTCGGATTAAAATTTAATGAACTGACATGAAACAATGCATAAATTTATTACTAACCAAGTTTTTGAACATAGGGAATGGAAAATGTCGTGGAGATTCAAGATGATAAATCAGCCAAGATTGATTCTTTTGTTTCTTTAATCTACTAAGATCTGCATCATTTTCAAAAACAACTAAGTCAGCTTGCTGAATCGTATGACTTACACTACATTCATACACAGGACAATGTGACAGATCGGGAAATGAATTAGAGGATTTACTTGGATAATAAATACGTTTCATAAGAATCCGTCCATTTTTACGTGCCTAAAATTAAGAAATAATGGTAGATAGGATGACAAAGCATGACAAATAAATAAAACCTGTGATAATATAAATGGTTACGAATTCGAAAGCAACAGACAAAAATGACAGGTTAAAGAAATGTGTTAAAGAACATATAACTAATAGTCAAGTTGGTTTCAAACCTGGACCTGGACATACCGACCAGATATTCGCCCTTTGATAGGTCCTGGAAAACAAATATACTTCTCGACACCAGACTAGAGATGTACTCCTTGACCTTAAGACAGTATTCAACTCAATTGGTCGAAATGTCCTCTGAGAGTGTCTATCATTTAAAGGCGTACCAAAGAATTACGTTAAACTTGTACAAACCTTTTTTCTGACACTAATGATTGTATTAAAGCATATAGAGACTGTTATCAAAATTGCCAACCTCAAATAGCGTTCTTCAGGGTTCTCCACTTTCTTCTTTCTTACTTGACTCTCTCATAAAAATCCTTTCAGAGATAATGCTCTCATCGTCTAACATTTTAAGGGTCGATTCGCTCCTAGGGTATTCACTTTCCGACTTCGAATGTGCAGATGATATAGTGCTGTTTAGCGAAGATTCTGACAAAGCGCACAGTCTCCCGGCTACGTTAAGCAACAGTGTAGGCATATTTGGGATAATTTTTTTCCCTTGAAATGCAAAATGTTGCATCAAGACTGGTTTATTTTAACGCCTGGACCAACAGTAGGAGGAAAAATAATTGAGCATATCAACCACATCTTAGGAGTCTTATGAGTCCTGATGGGTTGGTGTTCGACGAAATATAGTCACGGACTGAAAAACGGAGTATGGACTTTCCCCCTTGTGTCACTGGCGGAGTAGGTGAGACATCCATCTGCTAACCAAAGGACGAGTTTGCTTAACATTTGTTCGTTCCATTTTACACTATTGGTGCGAAAAATGACCATTAACAGTAGAGCATATTTATAGGTTACTGGTTTCAAAGTATCGCTTGTGTCTCCTGAGTTGAACATGGAACACTACATAAATATAACAAACCGGTTGATGAGTTTATGAATCTTCATCGACAGAGGTGGCTGACACATATGTTGGCTATGTCTGGTTTGGAAGTAGGCTGGAGGGAAAAAAGAGGCTACTAAACTGAATCTTGGTGTCAGTCTATGAGGTCACTAACTGTTGGACTCAGCCATGTAGGTAGGTACAGACTACCTAGTTAATTTCCACGTAATTACTGCAACCATTATTTAGAGACTTTAGGTGATATAGCACATGATCTTTCATAATGAATCAGGTCCAGTCACTCTTTGTCTTTACTCAGACCACAGATTCTTAAATTGTCCTATCGTTCCTCTTCATTCGATAAATCCATGTTTTCTCCATGACGCTGTTATTGCTTCGCTTCTCCTGGAATTTGTTAGAATAATGTTATCTCACAGTTCTAGTGTGGTGCAGAAAATTAAATCGAAGCGCTTATATACTGGATTCTGTGTTGCACATAAGTGACTGATCAATAACCACTGTTTTAAGCATAAATTAGTCGACTTCAGTTTTCCCGAAAAGAAACATACTTTCTGGACAGCGCATGTCAGATTGCCTTTAACAGTATATATCACTTATTATTAGGGGTGTAAAAAGCCTTTATTTACTACCATTAGCCAATTTGAATAAGATCTGACTAAAAACAGAAGTATTTTAGTTTTTTGACGACAAAACACATTATCAGTACAAAAGTAATACTTATTTTTCAAGCTTATTGCACTATACCAAACTATGTTCTATCATACTATCTGTATCATTAAGAATCTTTTCTCAGGATATCAGTTAATTACTTGAATTTCCTAGTCAAGTAGTATTTTAACTAGTTGTTTTAGTGTTAGTAACTTGCTATTTTCCACCCACTCATCGACTTTTTATAGAAAGTTACTCATCTCTAAAATAATGCCTATCAAAATTTACTGGTTCATTCGATTTAGTAACTGCTTAGTCAAATAGAAACATTGTTCTTCAGTGCTGTATAAATTTGAACTAAATATGTTTCAATCTTTCGATTGTATGATATAAAAGATACGTGTTAACTTCTATCAAATAACAGTGGTCTACTTAGGCTTTTAACATTCCATCTTTCACGATATTCACTTATTGCCATGAACGTTTCTGTCTTTGATTCATTTTAAATAACTACGAATGTCTACTAACCATGTGTTTGTGTGTGCTTTCAGAAAATGTATTAAACCCATCACCATTGTTATTACTGAGAAACTCGAGAATTACCATGACGGTGGTTCATATGTTTTCGTCTTTCTCTATTCTTTGAATAAACGAGAAGAAATCACTATAGAATTCGTGCATCAAATATATTTAGCAATGTAAAGAGATATCATGGCAGAAGTAATGAGCGTAATCATTTATAGGTGAATATGAATGGCAACTAATCCTTGTCTACAAATGCCTGAAATATTTTGTAAATTTTCACAAACTAAATGCTTATAAGTCATAAACTTGATGGCAGTTTACATGCTTTATACTAATAATTATTTTCTGTAATCAAACCAAAGAAAATGAACACAACAAGTATTATTATTATCAGAAGGGGTTTTGTGGAGATTGTAGTAATTTCAATAGTTGAGATTATGAGTCAATTGAAGCTAGACCACCATGGAAAACACGGTATATGGTGGCGCAGTTTCATGGATTAGTTGGAAAACCCGGAAGCACTAGATGGCCGTTTCGTCCTATTGTGGAACTCCTCAGCAGTACGCATCCACGATCCCGCTTCGTGTGATTCAAACCCAGAACCTATCAGTCTCATGCGCGATCGCTTAACCACCAGACCACTGATCCAGCATCCAACGGTGTTAATGTCTAACTTCAACTGGTGGTTTTTATGATCATAATTATTTTGTAGACAAAATCATTATGTGAAGTCACTTTAATGCATGAACAAACTATACACAAAACAATATAGCTAACAGATATTGGCATGAAGTAAAGTTCAGGACATGGGATTTGTTTTATCTAAAACTCGTTCGTTCAGATCCACATTCTAACTTCAAAATTAAAGCTGAATTATTTTTTATTGTTTCCAATACTCCTAGTTTTAGAAGTTTATATACCATTAGATGTTATAACTAATAGTCAAATTTATTTAAGTGTTGAGAAAACGTTTCCTCAATACTTAAAATTCTTTCGAGCTTTAAACAATCACATTCAAATATACTTTAAAATATCTGATGGTTACTACCTATCCAATATACCGATATTTCCCAACTAAAAACTTGTTATTTGACAACTTTCCAACAATCAAGGAAATGTTAAGAACTAACTTATCGTGTTTACTTATTTTTTCAAAAGAAAAATTTTTTTTGAATTAAAACTAGAGTCTTCTCAACATTTATAAACGGTTAGACAAAATATACACATCATTTCACAAAATCATTTGTTAAGTGATAGTCACGTTTACATCTAGATCATTGAAAACGTTTTATGAGGTTTCACTGAAAAATAACCTTGAAATTTGCAATCAACCATCGTCTTTTATTTCATATTTCCTTTATACATAATATATACTTAATATTGTAATATACAAAGTCACAGCCTGTGCGAAAATCATTTGAGAATCATTTATAATCAGAAGGGGTTTGTGGAGATTTTAGAAATTTTCACAGATTGAAATCATGAGTCAGTTGAAGCTAGACCACCATGGAAAACATGGTGTATGGTGGCGCAGTTTCATGGATTAGTTGGAAAACCCGGAAGCACTGGACGGACGTTTCGTCCTAGTATGGGACTCCTCAGCAGTGCGCATCCACGATCCCGCTTCGTGTGATTCAAACCCAGGACCTATCAGTCTCGCACGCGAGCGCTTAACAACTAGACCACTGAGTCGGCATTCAACAGTATCTAACGAAGTCTAACTTCAACTAATCCATGAAACTGCGCCATCATACACCATGTTTTCCATGGTGGTCTAGCTTCAATTGACTCATGATTTAAACTATTGAAATTACTAAAATCTCCACAAAAGCCATTCTGATAACAATCATCTGCTCACTGGTGACTGGCTTCAAGAGGCATTTCCTGGAGTTCTAGTGAGAAGTAGTGACCAGTGGAGTTCAACCAGGTCTGTTATGAGATACCAAATCAGTGAAGACAATGGTGTACGGTGGCGCAATTTCTTGAATTCGTTGAAGTTAGACATTAACACTGCTGCATGCTGACCGGCTCAGTGGTTTAGAGGTTAAGTGTACACGCTCGAGACCGATAGGTTCTATGTTCGAATCCGGTGGGGCTGGATCGTGGATGCGCACTGCTGAGGAGTCCCATACTAGGACGAAACGGTCGTCTAGTGTTTCCAGGTTTTCAATGGTGGTCTAGCTTTAACTGACTCATGATTTCAATCTGTGAAAAAATCATTTATAAGGCAAACAGAATATTCATCACTATGATAAGAAACGTTTTCATAAGTTTTTACTTCTAATCTACGTACTTGTTATTTTTCTAGTGATACTAGTTAACTTTTTATAGTATTGTTCCTGTATACGAGGTGTGGTTGCGAACTTCACACTCAACTCTCGTTCTTTACATAGGCTTGGGACATGCAGAAACCTTAGGTGAGCTCCAGATGGAGTTTTTTTTAACAACACTACTTATCATAAATAGTTTGTGAAGACTGTTTTAAAAGAAAAAGTAACACGTTATGTAAGTTTTTGCATGTTGTTCTTTACATCACGAGAAACAGTAATAATAAATTAATTATTAATACCTTTATAATTTCACATAGCCTGTAACTATTTTGACACTAATATTTAGTTTTTTTACAAGGGATATATTTCCTGTCAATTGTATAGAGTGAAATATTTCATAATATTGTATGAGTGCAAATTGTTTACCAGGTACAATACATGTTCATAAAACAAACTAATAAATCATTAAGCTTTAACTAAAATCATTGATCAGTAACGTTTACAATCAGTTTCATTAACTTTCATTTGGAGCTGTTACAAAAGAATGA